GAACCTCTATAAAGGTTTGATAGTCTCTCTCTCCGCGCTAACGCTAAAGCATTTTGCACAAGTCAAACTTGTAAAGAGCTCCCCACATTGACGTTTCTGAAAGTGGTGAAGCCTAATGACGGTGGTGACTTTTAGTTTAGTGGGCCTGTTTATACGCCTCATACTAGTTGCATTGGACAGAGACTGTAAGCCACTATAAAAAAGCCACGAGTTGTTGGGAAAGCCGAAGGATTGGTAAAGCCGCTATTAACAAGCCACCGGCTTATAAGCACGTAAAAGGATCGTCTTTTCCTACTCTCCTTTTGCCATGATGTAACTTTGTTGTGTAAACCATCGGGTGTGTACAAAATTGTCTTTTCGCTCCTCTGGTCAGGTACCTCGGCTCCACTGAGTGTGCATTTTCTTACCGCCCGCTGGTGTTGTTTTTACCGGGAACACTACTTTTCTCGTATATTCATTATACACAGTTCCAAATAGTACTGTGTGTGTACAACCGGTACCTTAGGTACAGGTCAGTCCGGTCACATCAACATAGTCCTCTAGACGTGATGTTTGCCAGGTGTTGTTTGTTTCGTCTTATTTAATTTCATGTCTAAGTTTCTTTTGTCCAATTTTATTTCACGGTTTTAGGTACCTAATGTTCCACACGTAGTCTGGTCATTTGTGCCAGTTTGACGTTTGAGGTAACAACGGACCACACTTCATTCCAACAAAGGGTTCAGTTCTATTTAAGTACGACGTTCTGTCATAATGTACACTTCCTCGCCAGTTCGTTTGACGAACTCCACTTTACCTACTCTTTACTTAACGGACATTGGTCTCTCTGTCGACCTTTAAGTTGGTTTATCACAAGTGTCAGTTCATCGGGATAGAGGGAGAAAAACGTGGATACACATTTCAAATTCTCAATTAGGTAGGAATGTATTTGTGCAAAACCCCATGGTACGAACGTAAAAACCTTTTGTAAGACATCTAAGAAGGTCGTTATCCACGCTTTTTTTTTCCTTTTGTGTCAAGGAAATGGTTAGACAGGACTGAAACCTTTGCGTAAAAAGTTATAAGATTTTTTTTTTTATCTTATTTCATCGATCGATCCTTTTCGAAACCTTTATTTTTTTATAGTCACAGACTCCGTGCGATAATTTTCTTCGATGGAATTCCCATTCGCGTTTGTTATGTCCCCGCCAATAAATATGTGATGTCTTTTGTTAATAACCGGTCTAGGTTAGGCTCACAAGCGGGGGATGTCAATCATCGACACGTACACCCTATCGTTTAAGACATTTAGACTGTTACCACAGTTTTTTGACATATTCTAGATGACATACACATGTAGTATTTAATTTCATTCCTAAGGCAATTTTGAATATAGTGGATAGACCGGCCGTCGACGAGATGCGGATCCTGTCCATACTGTGTAGTTCAACCCGGAATGTGTACTTGCACTACGTACCGTAAAACTAAGTAATAATTTTTCCTTTCTAAGTTCGTTCACTCGGTAAACGGATTTAAAGTTAATTAATCAGCGTTGGGGAAATCATTCCCTAGTCGTGGGGCTTTACGTTAATTGAAGCGAGAATAAGACTGTTTTTTTACTACCCTTCCCGTCCCTTCGGTCACTTAGATCTACAGTCTAGCGACTTGGGACATCGTGTTCTACATTTCTCACCATTGCCTAGCTATGTGTGTCCGTGGTCTTAGTCGGTTCACGTAGTGACACTATACTTCGACCGCAATCAAGGAAGCAAGTCTTGATAATTTACAGGTAACTATACTTTACAGTATTTCTATTGTATCGCGACACAACTTTATGATTATTCCCCTAGAACCGCATGTTCTAGCCCAATGTTGTGCATTGGATTTTGTAAAAGAACGACACATACCGTTAAATTTTTTCGTAAAAAAAATAATAAATTATAACCCTCAACAAAATTAACTACACAAATTTTTTATAAAATTTACATATCTAACAATGTAATCACCAACAGACTTGCAGGGAAACGGACGTCTCACTAACTTCAAGGAGGGTCGGACAACAACTCCCCCTGCACAATAACATTGTTAGTTCCGAGTAGAATTTTGTTTCAGTGGTCCACAATTTTACAGGGACGACAATAACAACTGATTTTTTACATAAACTTATCTTTCTAAATAAAACGTACCGCAACCTTTACACAGCATTCTAACTTTTTAGTAAAACTATTATAACACTATGTGTCGAGAGTTTGTGTGAAAGACACCAATAATTATTTCTCAGTTCGGGGCCACGTTCGACGAGACTAGGTTATGTCGCCGTAATGATGTACCTCCTTCCTCGCGCCGAAATATTTTCTTGTTATATACTTCAAGACTTACTGATGTGTTAAGATGTTAGCAGGGCGAAAGTTCCTTCAGTCTAAGTCCAAAAGTTACTGTAGGGAAAGGGTCAAACAATAGGTATATAACAGTCAAGTTCGTTTTGTCTCATACCCATTTTGTCCTTATTCGATGACTAAGTCATACAATTCAAAGAGATGTCATTGTATTTTCACCTAAACGGTTACTGCGTCCTTTTGACGACTAGTACACGTCAGGAAGAAATTCATGCGAGCTAGTAACTATTCTTTGTGGTTCCATCTGACGGCCTGATGTACGTGACTAACTCACTGGACGTCGTAAATATTGTGACATAGTTGGGAGGTATTTATTTCGTTGTTGGTTACATTGGCTAACATACCACCACGAGCACCGACAGCTTAACACAATCAACGTACGACTGAAGACATAGGAAATTGTCAACAAAACGAATAGTGTTTGCAACTAGAAAGGGACGTACGATTACGCCCGCCACAACGTACCCACACAGGAAAGTTGGTGGTCCTGTAAGTCGTATTTTCGTTCGTATAGGAAGATTATCCCGTCCGGACGGCAGACGAAGAAAATCCGAAAGTTTTACCATTCGTAATAAACGATGTTGTTTACTTTATAAGAGCTCCGAATGCAGCAAGTCCGTTCGGCCGAAATAACTAACCTTCCATCCTCCCGGAGGTCTCCCTCCCTGTCCGCAGGGAGTTACCCTCGCCCGGTTGATTTGTATTTACATAGGCCTGTGTTTTTTTTTTTTTTGTATTTTTGTATTTGTGTAGCGTAAACGAACGAGACCACTTAGACTAATCACAATAGCACATTGGAACCCTCCTCTGACCTTCTCCGAATGGAAAAAGGCGGCGAGTCGACGGGGTTCTCTTTGGAACGTGAGAGGTGCACCCTCAATGGACTCGTGCGTCCCAAAAGTCCTTCTAGAGTGCCCTTTTCTCCTTCTGCTGTATCTGCAGCTTTTGGCCTGGCGCGAACAAGTTGCTCTAAATTTATCTTTTTGCGAGATAAGTATTTATTTTTCAATCGGCGATGTCATTCTTCACAAATTCTCTGTGAAACAAGTTTAGGTAAGCCTTCACTTTGGAGGGAGGGGACCAACTGCTGCAGACAGGGGACGGTTACCGGATTCGCGGCGGGGATTTGGAGGAGAACCCCTGTCACCTCCACTCTTTCCTCCTGTGTGGGCCTTTGGTCTGTTAATTTTGGTTATATAATGTGTGTTTTGTTTCTATTCCATCAATCAGTTGGTGACCATATTACATCACTGACTGAATTGAACAGTAACTCTTATAAGATTTTATTTGTTAATTAATAATAAATAAAAACAACCGCACTAATAAAAAGTCTATAAATATTTCAGCGTGAAACGAAGTTGGCTGTGAGCCAGCCGCGAGCATGGTCGCGCGCCGTGTTTGTCGCCGCGTTTTGATTACGTCATCACAACAACACGTTAGGTTACCAAATGTATAGGTGCATTTGTTGTTGTTGAAGGCCTGGCTCTTAGTCTTTATTTACACTATTTTGTTGTAGGCCTACTGGCCTAGATGTTTATTTTAAAGCACCTTGGCTTTGTTCTGAATGCACTTTGTTGTAGTTATCCTACAGAGAAAAGAAAATGCACTTGACTTGGAATTAATGTACTGTATGCATTCAAAAGTGCTGAATAAATGTTTTATGGACCCATAATAGTGATTATTATTTAAGTTAAGTTTTGCCATAATCATGTCTTTTTCCATAATCAGGTAGCAGAACAACATTGGTAAAAAATGTATACATTATATATATATATTTCTATTAATCATTTTCGGCCTTTCGGCATTCGGTTTTCGGCCAACTGTTTCCTATTTTCGGTATCGGTTTCGGCCAAGAATTTCCCATTCGGTGCACCCCTACTTTTCTCTCACTCTTGTTGCTCAAAAAAACATAATCTTTTCACAAATGCATACAAACAGAGGCGTGATGCAAATATTCAGTCAGGACATTGTATTAATTGTTGGATGCAGCTATAAATAGCTTTTCAGAGCAAATCTGAGCAGGCTTGAAACAAACCCCATACATCCTGAGATGTAAAACATTTGAATGGACAAGATCACACTTTGAACATCGCATACACTGTGCTCTAAACAAAATGATGGAGAAAAGGTGGAGGCTGCAGGAAGACTGTCACTTGCACATGCAGAATGAAAAACGCTTGGAGAAAAATGTCCAGCATACAGATACAATGATTATTAAATGTGTAAATGTTCATAAAGTGTTAAAGATGGACCTTTGTGGAAATGTGTGACTGACCGATTTCTGGAACATGACGCAGGACAAAGCCGAAAGGCATTTGTCTTACAATGAACTTGTTATACACACAAACTGTTGCAGTGATTGATTACAAACCATATGATTAGAGCTGAAACAATTATTCTATTAATCCATTATTCAGAAAATAATCAGTAGTTTATTGGATAATGATTGTTGGAGTCATTCATGTGACTGTAAATCTACATGTGTGCCTGCCTGAGCGTCCACGAGGGTCCATTCAGGCCTAGCTGATGGCTGGTTATGACTGATCCACAATTGTAAAACTACTAAAAAAGACGTTTGTCAAGGAGGCACAATTCTGGAAAAAGAAAAAGCTCCCTGTAAACCACATGGGTTTGCATAACAACTTCATCATGGTTCAAATACATCTTTGTCAAATCACATTACTTGAATCATTTGATATGATTACAGAATGACAGCTTCACAGTGCAAGTCTTTATCTGTGGTCTCTTCTCACTGTGATCCTCTGTGTTGCAGCTTGTCCTGCAGGGATGTGTTCGAGTCGAGGTTTATGCGGTGACGACAACCGTCCCAACAGAGCCTCCAGCTCAGAGGGCTCCGGCTCAGGGGCCCACTATGCCCTGTGTGCCCTGGGAGTGGGACTCATCGCCCTGGGCATTGTCATGATCGTGTGGACCGTGATACCCAGGGACGGAGAGGACATCCCCAACTCAGCAGGCAACTCCACCGGTAACCCTACCACCATCGATCCGGAAGAGGAGGACAAAGACGCAAAATCCTCTACAGTGGCTATGGTGCTGGTTGGAGTTGGTGCCGCCATGTTGCTTTTATCCATTTTCCTTGGCGTGAGGAATAATCGGAGGCGAGGCAACGCAAGCAGCCAGGCAGTGGCAACAGGAGTCCCCCTCATGAACCATGTGCCCGGGGAGTGAGTAGTGGCTTTTTCTTTTTGCTTACGTTCCATATCTGGTGGTGTGAACAAAGCTACTTTGTATTGGAAATATACAGGCCTCCAGGCCTTGAAACATTTCTACCTGCAATATTAAAAGCCACAATCCTACATTTTCATCAATACCGTGATCTGGCTAAATTACTTATCGTGCTCAATAAGACCGATATTGTTGTCACATAATTTAATAGTTTGAAGTCCAACTAAAAATATTTATTATGGGAGGGTTTCTAGGGGGGAACAATGGATCAAAGAAACAAAGTCTGAAAGAATTATGACTGGACTCTTCTGTTCAGCACAACTCCACAAGGCTTTAAGTGTCTTTTAGCCCATCAGTTATTTTTTACTAATCACAGTCTGTTTTGGGTAAGTCTCGCCGCTCTCATAGCATCATTTCTGGTCTCAGTGGGCAGCTGTACACCTTCCACTCAGTACCAGACCACACAGATAGCTGGTGAAATACTATAGCATGGTAGAGGCCAACAAACTCATAAAAGACAGTGAATAATTTACCTTTATTTGATGGATGGACACAAACAAGATAATGATAATGTGGCTTTATATCTGCTGCATGTGAACATTTGAAAAGGTTTGCCCACACCTCATCATATCCGCATAAAGAGGGATCATTTGGAAATGTAGTATTAGCAGCTTATTTCTGAGGCCCCCTTAGTGGCAAATAAACCGATGCATAGCAGCTTTAGCTTTAATTATTTTCCTATGTATTTTGTTTACATTGCACTTTCCCACTGAGGCTCATCTCTGACGTTCTATTGCAGAGCTGCAGACCAGACTACATTCAACGTGCCAAGCTACGAGGAGGTTGTTGGCAGCGATGACTACCCCGTCCGCCACAGCAATCTTCGCAGCAGCACTTCCCAGCTGCCGTCCTACGAGGACATCCTAGCTGCTGTGGAAAACGAGGGTAGACAGACCACTGACAACCCCACAGAAGACGCTTCTCCGAATGATGCCGCAACAGCTCTGGCTGAAGCTTCAGCTGACCCCCTCTCTGACCCCCCTGGCCTCACTTCAAACCCCAGCCTGCCCACCCGCAGCACCAGCCGGGCCAGCCGTCTACTGCGGCCCCTCCGGGTGAGGAGGATCAAGTCAGATAAACTGCACCTGAAGCACTTCCGCCTTCAAATCCGCACCCCCACACAAAATCCAGTGACCATTGAACCCATCACCCCGCCACCGCAGTATGACAACAAGGTGCCAGAATTAGAGTAGTGTCTCTCGCTGACAGCGTGATAGAGGCCCAGTAGGAGAGACACCCCTGCCATGAGAACATTGTCTTTATTACTGACGCTTGTGATCAGCATATTTATTCTGTTATAAAGCAACATTAAGTCTCTGTGTTAAAGGTTCTGCTGTCAAAGTTGAGATTTTGTCCTGACATCATTTATGCCAAACATGCCTTTCAGTTTTATTTAATAGCTATTTGTGTGTTTTAATGGACAATATTGTTAACTCATATAATTGTTTTTCATCTGACAGAAAAAGGAAATTTTCCGGGTGGGTTGCTCCTGATTAGTTTTGAGAAGTTTAAACCGTATTGTTGTGATTCAAAAGGGCTGAAGGGAAAAACATTTCTGGAAATTCTGCTATTAAGTATCATACAGTGTGCAACCTTTATGTGATTGGTAATGCACTGAGACCACAAATGTAGAATGTATTGTCCATGTTTGTTATCGCTTGTTTTAAGTATATTGTCTTAAACAAACTGTTTCCTGAAAATGAAAGCGCCCTCTGTATGATGTCCAGTGTGAACTGTACAATTCTTAAAACAGTTATAATCTACTGTAACACTAACCAGAGAAAAACCATTGGATATTCTGGTACGGAATGGGTGATATCAATGCATTGTTTTTCAGGACTTTTTTAGTGTTTAAATGTTTAAACTATGCTGTATGATGTTTGTAAAAAAAGTGGTGAATAAATGTGTTTCTATTTTATTCATGATCATGTCAAGATTTTATACTTGTTGTTGTTAAATATCACTGAGAAATACTTCTGTACGTTTAATTGCTTAAACATTAACTCACTTATATGCCAAGATCAGTAGAAGTAAGTAGGTCTTCTAAATATGTGTGCCACTCACTTTTGATGATTTTTCATGCTGCAACTTTGCTTTAGTTGTATTTATTTTGAAAGAGATATATCTTCCTTGTGCTTTCTGTTAATAAAATCTAACTGTAGACGTTTGCTTTGTTTTATTTTTTGTCACATTGACAAACTCCCTATTTGACTTTCTGTTTTTGCACCAACTGTGATATGTCTTAATAATCATCGGTTAATATTCAGCACCCTCGAGTGGCTGAAAAGGGTAAAGTCCAAACTAGGTTGATTCGACCTGTCCATTTTAGTTATACTATAGGTGTTATATTGGAATGCTTTTATATTTAACATTTACCATTAGTAAATTAGTCTATTACACATTTATCTGGTTAAATAAAGGTTATATATATTTGTTTTAAAGGGAGATATTTAACCCTTAGCCAGTTTATAGAAAAGTATCCATCTATTCATACTTATTTTATTAATGGCAGCACTATTCACATTATTTACTTGCGCGACGTGCGTACATGTAAAAGCCTGCATTGAATGCATAACTTCTGGGTATTGAGGAAATTGGCAAACATAAGTAGTTGAGAAAATAGCTTATGTAATTTCCCTCTGAAAAATAATTATAGCTTGACATTTTTATGACATACAGTACTACAACTTTTCTAATAGTTTTTAATGACATGCCATGACATTTATTAATATCTACTACTATATTGCAGTGTGATTGTTTTACGAGACACTATATTATCACTTTTTATCAACATTTTCAACATTTTCAACATTTATGACGACATACTTCACTTGGACTTTTTTATGAAATAGTTGTGACATACTGTAATATGACATTTTTATGTTTGTTTAGGACCTACCTATCTATGACTTGTTTGCTGTTTAAGATATACTATACAATGACATTTTTATGACTTTTTTGACTTATTTATGACTTTTTCTTCCATGATATTCAACTGTATGATTTTTTTTATGACATAGCCTACCATAAGATAATTGTGGAGGAGGACATTCTTATGACAGCCTCTGTAGTATGACATTTTACGATATATTTGTTTACAGATTATAATATGTCTATTCTGTTACAGTTGTTCTTGAGATCTTTATATTAAATCGGTTTTTTTCTGTAGAATAACTTTTGATGACATGTAACACCGTATGACTTTTTTTTAACGTGGGCCTATAAGTAGGCCTAACTCTGGAATTGAAGTATACTGTACAATAGCATAACATGGAAAAACTCAAGTTGGGTTATATATTTAAACATATCCTTAAATACAGTAGGCCTACGTGACTATTAATGCACTGTGTTACCTTCCGGCAGCTCATACGTCTACAGTTTCAGGTTGACCTTCTTAAGCAAATAAACAAAAATACAGTAGAGCTCTTTTAAATTAACATGTTCAAAAAAGTTTCCGAAAATGACTAAACTGCTGATCCTAAGGCTTAAACATATGAAATAAGAAAGTTTATTTTTTAATTTCCAACATCCACTATATTTTCTTAAGCCCCTCCCCTCGGTTCAGAGGGATTTTTTTCTTTTTTTAATGTGCAGCTGCCATGTAGCAGAGGGAGGAACAGCTGTCTGAGGGAAGAGCCAGCCCGGGGAGTCAGTCACATTCCTGGCTGGGATTCAATGACTGAACCAGACACAAACAAACAGAGAGGGCGAGATAGAGAGAGAGAGAGAGAGAGAGAGAGAGAGAGAGAGAGAGAGAGAGAGAGAGAGAGAGAGAGAGAGAGAGAGAGAGAGAGAGAGAGAGAGAGAGAGAGAGAGAGAGAGAGCACGCAAGAGAGAGTGAGAGAGAGAGAGAGAGAGAGAGAGAGAGAGAGAGAGAGAGAGAGAGAGAGAGAGCGAGAGAGAGAGAGAGAGAGACACACATTGAGTGAGTAGGGAGACAGACTGAGAGTACGCCAGACTGAGCAGACGAGGCATATTTCGAGCGCACATTAGGAGTGCGTAAAACCGCAGGAGCGTATAGAAACACGGTACCCGGTGATTGTACGTTGGATAATACGAGTTTTGAGTCGCGGAGTTGTCGACTTTAATTGCGTCTGCCTACAGGAACAGCCCCTGTGTGTTCGGCAGCCGTCAGTTTTCTGAATGGACGCGCTGGGAAGCTTCTCCGGTGACATGGAAATGCGCGTTATTGAGCGTGTAGCCGGATGCTGAGGACGCTCGATCCGATTAGTCAATTTCAGCTTTCATTTTGAGTTTTGAACTGTGTTTTCCAACCGGCGACAACATGGAGGGTACGAGCTTTCAGCCCCATCCCGGACTTCAACAAACTCTGAAGCAGTTTCATCTGAGTTCCATGCGCTCTCTCGGCGGACCGGCAGCGTTCTCCGCTCGGTGGCACCAGGACTCGTTTTTCGGTAAAGATGGAAAGTCCGTCGAGATGATGCTAACCATGCCGGCTCAGACGCCTCCGGTAATGTCAGGTCCACTTTTCATCCCGTCCGACCGCTCCACGGAGAGGTGCGAGACGGTCCTGGAGCGGGAGCCCATCTCCTGCTTCGCGGTCGGCGGTGAGAAGCGCCTGTGCCTGCCGCAGATCCTCAACAGCGTCCTGAGAGATTTCTCGCTCCAGCAGATCAACTCGGTGTGCGACGACCTGCACATCTACTGCTCCAGGTGCACAGCGGACCAGCTGGAGATCCTCAAAGTGGTGGGCATCCTGCCCTTCTCTGCTCCGTCCTGCGGGCTAATCACCCAGACGGATGCTGAGCGCCTCTGCAACGCTCTCATCTACGGTGGAACCTTCCCTCCACACTGCAACAAGGAGTTGGGTTCCCTGGAGTTGGAGCGAACCGAGAAGAGCTTCAAAGTATATCATGAATGTTTTGGCCGGTGTAAAGGCTTGTTTGTCCCGGAACTGTACACCAGCCCGAGTGCCACCTGCATCCAGTGCATGGATTGCAGACTCATGTTCCCTCCTCAGAAGTTTGTGGTCCACAGTCACAAGAGACTAGAGAACCGGACGGTCCACTGGGGATTCGACTCCGCAAACTGGCGGGCTTATGTGCTCTTGGACCCGGACTACTCCGGAAAGGAGGAAAAGAGTCACCTGGAGGAGCTGCTCAAAGAGTTAAAATCAAAATATTACCCTACGGGCAAGCGGTCCAGTAAATCGTGCAGAGTAAGTCTTTTTTGTTACACCTTGTTATTAACTTACACTTATTTTCATTTGAGGTGTGTTGTTTGTATCTGTGGATATTTCAACAACACCAGGCATTATACAGCATCTGCATTAATTAACATTAATTCGGAGAAGGCTTCCTTCTCATCAGGCCTGTCACTGTCTTCCCAGCAGAGTTATAATGCAAATCACATGTCACATCCCAGCTTTCTGTGTGTAACCCTGCACTGTGAAACACCTCATATGAAGCCTCAATCACCTCATATATGTCTGGAGGAGGTGACAGGGAAGCCTCTAACCATAAGCTGAAGCCCCTCAGCATCCCCNCATATGACGCACACCTGCACACTTGCTCCCCTGTTCCACTCTTCGTTTTCCGAATGCTAGGAAGTATTCTTGCCTCGCTTCTGAAGCAAGTGACTCGGAAGCTGTGCTACCAAGCAAGCGTACTCGACATTGAGAAACACCCACTCTCTCCAGTACAGGTTAGCTCTGAGTGTTAGCGATGCTTGCTAATGTAAACAAAGACAATATTACGTCCAAAACAGTCGGGCATTGTTTCTGATAGCAGCGTTTCAGACAGGGCAGTGGGTGTAAATCCAGCCCACATTTCAAATTTTACGTCATATAGGACCATACTTGTCAACCCTCCCGATTTTCGCGGGAGACTCCCGATTTCATTGCCCTCTCCCGGTTTCCTCCCGGGGTCGCATTTCTCCCGATTTCTGACAAAATCAGATTGACACACGACTGTTTCCACTCTTTAATACAGCTACACCATTGTTTGGTTTCCATGGTAACACGTCTCTTTAGTAGCATGCCCAACTCAAAGTCTGACAGGGTCAGGCAGATAGGCACAGAAAATAGAACAACAACTACTCTACTCTCTGCTCACTCCTTTCCTGCCCACACATATGCTCCATCAAGGACAGTGCTACAGGCCGCAAGGCATTGAACTTAGAATTACAATAAGCATGTTAATGTTAATCTAACAGCTCCGGCGATCCACTAGCAACCCCCCCCCCCAATTTTGCATTTTGAAATGCTCCCGATTTCTGAGGTCTAAAGGTTGGCAAGTATGTATAGGACGCAAATCTGGATCAGCTCCGTTGTTCCCCCGTTTTTAGAGATGCAGGTACGGAAGAAAAGAGAGAGGGGTTTATTTTATGACGCTTTGTGAGTTCCCTGACACACCGGGGACACATATTTATGTAAAAAAGACATTAAAAAGTGCATTTTGCATGATAGGAGACCTTTTAAGATTAGAGCCTTTTTAAATAAGTTGTACATAAATGAGACGTCTATGTTCCTTTTACCCAGATTGGAAAAAGATAATGAAGGGAGGTAGAGAGTAAGGAGAAGTGTAGTATTTTAAGGCGCACCACCTCATTGCCCACGAGTGACGCAATGATCCTAATTTCCCTGCTCACTGTAGCACATCTCATCTCATCACACCTTTTCCAGAGCGCAGTCTCTTTGAGCTGCTCCCTGGTGTTGGCTACGCCCGCTGAGCTGCTAGAGGACATGCTAACAAGGAGACGTGTGATAATGTGGGGCCTAGTTACTCTCAGGTTAAGCTCACTCATACACTTGAAGCGTTCACCCATACTTTGTTATTCTTGTTTAAATTGCATGTGATTTGTATTCAGTGGAAGACTCGTATGTACATGTTATATTGCCCCTGTGGCCATGCATGCAGACCACCATGGATAACTCCAGCTTAACTGTGTAGTCAGAAT